GATCAAAACGCAGTTGCAGTCCTCTTCATGTTGTGTTGGGATATTCCCATGTGCCAGCTGTCAGGAAGGACCTCAGCTCCCACTGAGGTTAGGGGTGATATCGGTGCCACAAGGATGCTCCGGCTGGAGGAAGGCAGAGAGGACTCTGCACAGCCCTGGGAATGAATCCCAGCCGGAGGGATGAGCCGTGTGAGTGCAAACACAGCCGAGCCCATAAGCAAGCAGAAGCAGACGAGCTCTTTTGCCAGGTGCTGTATGTATATATATGCATTTATATACCTCTATGGTTTATATATGGGGACCAGGGAAGCATTTGGCTCCCCAGCGATGTGGGGAATATCAAGGGCCTGGAGCACGGAAAGGAGGGAACCAGCAAAAGGCAAACTCCAGCCGAGCCAGACTGTAAAGATCAGCTCGAGCCAAGAAATCCCAGCTCCAAACTGAGCCGGGGCTCGGCTCATCCCATGCAGCCTCTTGGATCCGGTGCCTGGCTTCTCATTTAGTTGGGGGGGTTATTTAGCTGGGAGTTGCATTAATCCATCTGCCCACCCCATGATTTAATATCCCAGGGCTGGAGTTATATCACGTTATCGGGATGCTGGGATTTGTGTGGAATGTTCTGCGGTGCTCCCATGGCAAACCTGCCGGGTATCAGCATCAATAACCGAGGAGGAAGGAGCAAGGGGTGCTCTGGTGATGCTGCATTGATCGGCCTGCTGTGGGTTTCTGCCTGTTTGCAGAATTCCCAGGTATCCTCCACGCTCCAGCTATTTGGGAATGCCGTGGAGCGCACAGCACCAGTCAGTGGGCGGCTTTGACGGGGGTTGTAACTGGTTCTGGGCACCTATGGGTGCTTGGGCAGCGTGCTCCGGGGTGCTGAGCATTCCCCGAGATCCTCCTTATTCCCAGTGTGAAACCCGTCAGTGGGGACGGCTGGAGGAGTCTGGGCTGTTTCCCAACCCAGCAGTGCCCGTGGTGCCTTCAAGCCTGTGTTAAAGTGCAGGAAGAGCTTGGAAATGGGTTTAAAAAGCTCTGCAGGTGAGCGGTATCACAGGGAACACAGGCCAACCGCCCCCCCCCCCCCAAGGCTTGTCCCCACACCCTTACCCCAAAAGCCAGGCCATGGGGTTGGGGTGAGAACATGGGGCTGGTGTTTTCATCCCCTCCAAGGTCACAGGGCTGGGCTGGAGATGGGCTGCAGATCCTGTTAGGAAGGAGCATGCGGTGTGTTCCAAGGTCCCACGGCCCCATGCAGACCCCAAAGAGCAGCAAGCGCTTGGGGAAGGATGCTCAAAGACAAGGAGAAACGAGGAAAAGAGCTTTAAAAAGAGGTCAGAGCCACCCCAAATCCCACACTGCAGCAGAGACATGATGCCCATGAACATCCGCAGCCCTGCAGCACGGGGTGACACATACTGACACGCCACCCACAACACGCCCCATCCCAAAACATGCGCCAACATGCTCCGGCCATGCACATGCAGACCCCAGTGCTGCACCAAGACATGGTCCTGCACCACAAGACCAAACGGCCACCCTGAAAGATGCTGCAAAGCCACACAGGGACCACGCAGACCCCCACCCAGGCCATGGTGCAGGGGGGCTTCAGCCCTTCCAGCCCCTACAAGGAGACAAGCCATAAATCAACCCTGTGAGGGCATAAAGTGATTTAGGTTTTATTATTTATTCACCAAACAGGAGCATGGAAAGATCCAGGAGATTGGGTTCCCCATTTGGAGCTTCAGCAGGTCAGAGTGATGGGGATCACCAGGAGGTCCCCAGCTGCACCCCAACACTGTAAAGGGGTAGAAGGGCTTGTTTCTGCTCCCCTATCTCCCTATGGAGTGGCCATGGGATGGGGTCCCCCATGGAGTTCCAGGATTAACGGGTGACAATAATGCCCGTGGGTGCTGTTTGAGCTAATCCCCTGCTTGAGGAAATTCCAGAGGAGGTAGAAAATAAATAAAGCAATGGAAAAATAAAGTCATTCAAATGAATAACTGTGCAAGGAGCTGGGGGTCACATCCCTGCTAAAGATGCCCTAGGAAGATCAGGGGTGAAGGGAACGGGGTAACACCACGATCATCAACACAGTCTGCTCCTGACCCCGCAACACGCAGAGACCCAGGCTGCATCTTCCCCAGCTTGCTGCACCCCCAGAAAGAAACAAAAATCAAAGAGGAGGAGGAAGGAGGGAAGAAGCAGTGCTGAGCACCGAGGAAAGGGGGGAAATCGGGCATCCTCTACCCCAAAGTGCTGTATTCACTCTCAAAGGTGATGGGGAAGGTATTAGGGCACAGGAGGCAATTGCAGCCATCCCACGGGCATCATAGAGCATCACATTGAACCCCAGCGCTCCCCCCCAAAACCCCACACGGCTCCAAAGGCAGCTCTGATCCTCCAGCCAGCTGGGAAAAGGGGGAATGACCCACAGGGACACACGGAACGTGCCTGCAGGAAGACGGACCACGGCAAGAGCCAGGAAAGAGATGGCCCGAGATCCCTGGGATGGTTTGTGAAGGTACCAGCTCCAAACCCCTTCTTCTCCCCAAACTCTCATTTAGTCACAGAGCAGGCAGCTGAAAATGCTTCCCCAAAAATAATGGGTCAGAACAGGGGGAAGTTGGGAGGAAAAGATTGGGAATAACCCACCGGGGAGATGCTATTCACCCCCTAAGATAATCAGGGAGAGGAAGAGATGCGAGGGCAGCAGGACTCGTTATTCCTTACTTCAAATCAGGTTTGAAAAGCTTCCCCAGCTCCATATATAAACATGAATAGGGAATTAACCCCCCCAGAGCCCTCTTTCTGCCCAGCACCGGTGCATAAAGCACGGGGTGAGAGTGTTTCCATGCATCCCAGCTCCTATCCCAATAAACCAAGCCTGACACCGAGCACTGCTCAGACCGCTCAAAACTCTCCGGACACAAAATAAGGCACCGAAGCAGAGGAAGAAAACAGGGGGATGAGGTCTGGGGGTGCAGGGAAGGTAAAACCAGAGGGTGCCAGGGCCACATGTACCCCACAAAGCTTGGATGATCCCAGGGGGTGTGCGTTAGCACGGCAGGGATTTACGGAGCAAACACGCCGCAGCCATTGCGCCGGGGCAGCTCCCGCTTGGGATTTGCCATGGCAGAGCCTGTGCGAAAATATAGGGGGTAAAATAGACAATAAAAATCTATGCAAAACGCTCAGAAATCGGTTGCGGGCGTAAATTGTCCCGGTGAGCCCAACAAAACCAGGGAAAACTGCAAGGATATTGCTCTATGCTTCCCCAGCGGCACGGAGCAGAGCCGGGACACAGCGTCCCTGCAAACAGTCCCAAATCCCCCTAAAACACGTGTAAATACCAACCCTAAAGCTTTCCTTTCGGGAAGGAGAGCGTTTGGTTTGCGTTTCTCCCCCCCTTTCCTGAATTAAGGACTCAAAAGGGGAAAGAAAAAGGGAAAGGAAAATCGTTTATTACCGTTGAAAATCAAAGCTCAGCGGGACGGGGTCGGATAAGCTGGGACCAAACTGGATCCGCGCTGGGGTGAAGGTGACTTTAGAGCGGCCACGGGGACGAAGGTCTCCAGGACACCTCGGGACCTTCCATTTAGGGGGGAAAAAAAAGAACAACAAAAAAAAAAAGCAGGAAAAAAAAGCAGGAAAAAAGGCAGGAAAAGCGAAAAGCCGGGGTTCGGTGGGGCAGAGCCGACGGCGCTCCCTGGCTCGCAAGCGACAGCGCCCGAATGGCTTTATCCCTGCGAGCTCGGGGAAGGTTTTGGCATCAATCTGAAGCCTCAAAGGGGATAATCGACCCCCCCCAAAAACGAAAAGACAAAGATGAACACACAGCCCCCCCCCCCCCCCCAAGTGAGAGAAAACCCGACCCAGGCTCTAGTTGAATATAAGTTTTTATCTTGATGCAACATCGTTAAAACCGTCACAAATCGAAACAACAGGTCGTTTAAAAACGCTTCGCACGATCAGTACCTAAAATGCACCAGGCTCCCGAGCTCGCTTTGTCCCAAAGACCTCTGCGATTTACCCCAAAAGTCAGGGTTTGTTTTTTTCTTTTAAACGGGTTTTTTTTTTTTTTGCTTTATCCGCGTTTAAATAAGCAACTTGGTATAAAAAACAACCACCACCAAACCCGCCCCGCTCCTGCGCGCAGGATCGGCCCCGCGGTTGCTCCAAGCACGGGTTCTCCTCTTCTCCTTGCTTTTTTAACACGAGGAAGATCGTGCCTTTTCCTTCCTTCTTCCCACATGGAGCTTAAAACAAAAAACTCCGGTTCCCGAGGGTTAATAAATAAATCCGGTGCATAGTGAGATAGCAGCCAACCGTTCGCAGTTCATATATTACTATATTGCCTTTCAGGTCGCCCTAAAATTGTTCCCTCTCCCCTCCCTTTCCCCACCCCCCCGCTATTCGTAAGAGCATAGATAACTTTAAATCTCTATAAAACAGTATTATTTCACCCAATCGATTTCCTGTATATAGTGCATTCGGCTTCTTCCCAACATCGTTAAATTAACTCGATATTATTTGCATGCTATTACATACAAACTTTTTTTAGGACTTGTGTATTTTTTTTTTGTTCTTTTCTAAAGGATTTTGGTGTTTTTTTGTTTGGTTTTTTTTTTTGTAATTCATAATCAAGCAAAATATAGGCTCGAGGAAGAAGAAACAACACCCCCCCAAAAAAAAAAATTCAAAAAAAAAAGGCAAAAAACCCTAACTAATTTCTACATATTTACAAGGGTGAATAAGTTAAACGTGGCTCAGGTTAGGCGGGGGGGAGGGGAGACGGCTTCCCCCCCCCCCCCCCCCGCCGTCTATGAGGAAGCCCTCCAAAAACTCAACGTCAAATTGAGGGTAAAACACGTAGGATAAGGGATGGGGGGGGGGGGGAGAAGTCACCGGGATAGCGCCGATGCTCCTGGGGGGGGGGGGCCGTACACGTCCCGCATGCAGGCTGGCTTCGGGCCCCCCCCCCCCATGTGGAGGAGGGGGGTTCAGCTCCCCCCCTTCCCAAACTATGAGTGAGAAACCCAAAAATAACACATTTGTCGGGGTTTTGTACAAGCGGAGGGTTCGTTCCATACATGGAATGGGGGGGAGAAAGAAGGGGGACACCCCCCCCCCCAATACACACACAACCTTCCCTCCCTCTCCCCGTGTTTGAGGCTCACATGAAGAAGTCAGCGGTGGGTTTGGGGGCGGCGGATGGGGAGGGCTCCCTCGGGAAGCCCCGGCCGGCCAACTTCTCGTATTTTTCTTTGTACAGATCCCTTTCCTTGGCCAAGCGGGTCACCTCCTGCTTGAGCTGCTCCACTTGGCTCTGGAGCTGGCATTTCTCGTTCTCCAAGATGTGCCGCTGCTGGACCCGCTTGTAGCGGCAGGACTGAGCGTAGCCTCGGTTCTTCAAGGTCCTCCTCTTCTGCTTGAGGCGGATCACCTCCTCCTTGCTGAAGCCCCGCAGCTGCCGGTTGAGCTCCCGCACCGACATACTCACCAGCTGGTCGTCGGAGAAGCGGTCCTCCAAGCGCAGATGGTGATGGTGATGATGGTGATGACCGGCGTGGTGATGGGCGGCCGGGGGTAGCTCCTCGCCACCGAAAGGCTGAGGTCGGAAGGACTCGTAGCCTTGGTGGTGATGATGATGATGGTGAGGGGCACCGATCAGCGCCTCCACCGCGTCCTCCGGCGTCAGGTTGAGAGCTTCGGGGTTGAGGTGATGCTGGTAACCCGACATCCAGTACAGCTCCTCCAGCTGCTGCTTGGAGCCCAGGGAAGCGGCGGTGGTGGTCGGGGGGCCAGGGGCTGGTTGCCCACCGGGACTGGGAGCGCAGAAGCTGGGCGAGGAAGGCACGGAGGAGCAGGGGGTGCTGAGCGGGGTGGACGACAGGGACCCGGCGGGCAGCCGGTGGCACAACCGCTCCGCCTCCGCCGGTTCCTTCTTCACTTCGAACTTCATCAGGTCGAAATCGTTCACGTATTCGATGGCGAGGGGGCTGGTGGGCAGCTCCGCGCTCATGGCCAGCTCCGAGGCCATCTCAGTCCATGGAGGGACCGGGGGGAGATCCCCCGGGCACCGCCGCTCACCGAGGACTCGGGGCTCTTCCTCCCACCGCGCTCCGGGGCTCTCCGCCGCGGTGTAACCGGTTGCCCCAACGGGGCTCCGCGAGCGTCCGAAGGGGGCTTCGCTGGGGGCTTCAACCGGGCTCCGGTACCTTCCGTCGGGGCTTCACTGGGGGCTTCAGCCGCGCTCCGGCACCCTCCGCAGGGGCTTTGCTCGGGGCTTCAGCCGGGCCCCGGGCCCCTCCGTCGGGGCTCCGCACCGCTCTGCAGCCGGGCTCCGGGGCTCAGCTCCTGGCTTCCCCCCACCACGGCCGCCGGGAAGCGGAGCCCCGTGGGTGCGGGACCGGGCTCTCTCCAGCACGGCTCCGCCGCTGCCTGCGGCCGGGTCCCAATGGCGGGGAGCAGGCAGCGCCCTGCCCGCCCCTTCCTGCCTCCCCTGGCACCTGCCCCGGCCCCACCTCCCCGGGACAGGAGCCTTCTCCTGCCCTCCTCTTCCTCCTCCCACCCCGGACACGGGCACCAGGGGCGGGGGCTGCCCCCCTGCCCGTCCCCTGCCTGCTCCCTGCCCGTACTCGGCGCTACCGGGCGGCTGAATGGAGCCCGATGCGTTATATAGGGGGGAGCGCGGCCCGGCCCCGCCTCCCGGGGCGGGGACTGCTGTTTCTGGCCTATCAGCGCGGCGGATGCCACGTCTCGATTTGCATATCCCCATGGTAACGCCTCGGGGCTGCTGTCAATCACTGCGGGGACCGGGTCTGCGCTGCCCGCGGCGGCTCCGGAGGAGGGGACCCCGTGCCCCGGGCATCCCCCCCCCGGCATCCTCCTGTATCCCATCACATCAACCCCTGCATCCCTCTCTGCATCCCCCTGCATCGCCTGCATCCCGTTGTGCCCCCTACACACATCCCTCCTGCATCCCCCTGTACCTCACTGCACCCCACTTCCTCCCCAGTGCATCCCCTCTCTGCATCCCCTCTGAATGCCCCCTGCATCTCCCCACCATTCCTTCCCCATGCATCCCACCACATACTCCTGCATTCCCTTGCACCCCCATGCATCCTTCATGTACCCCCCCAACCCCTCATCCCCTTTCACCCCTACCTGCATCCCAATGTAACCTCTTGCACCCCCCCCCGCACCACCTTGCACCTTACCTGCATCTTCAGCATCCCCCCTGCATCCCCTTGAATCACTTCGTTTATCCCCCTGCATCCCCTTGCTTAAACTTGCACCCCCATATAACACCCTCTAACCCCCTGTGCCCCCTCTCTGCATGCCCCTTCATCCCCCCAGGCATCCTCCCCACATTCCCCTTTTATCCCCTCTCATATCCTGTGCACCCCCCCCACCACCACTGCATCCCCTTGCGCCCCCCTGCATCCTCCCTCCACTCCCCCCTCCACCTTTCTGCATCCCTTTGTATCCCCCTGCATCCCCATGTAACCTCCTGCAGTCCCTCTGCTCCCTTTCTCTGCATCCCTCTGCATCCCCTGTCTATGCTCCCTCCATTCCACCCCCCCATTCCATCTCCCCCCAACCACTCCAGGCCCAAGCAAGAAGTGAGCACAAACAGAAGATAAACCATAATTTCCTCCCCAAAAAACAGGGAAAGACCCAGAATGGGGATTATTGATCCCAAACCAGGTTCCACACCTCACTGAGGGACCACAGTCTCCATTGCTGTTGTGGGTACCAGGCACAACATCGACCTGGGATGAAAGGGATGAAGCCCTTTCCCTCCCCACCTCGGTGTTCCCAGTCCGGAGCATCCTCCCTGGGATACAGGGAAGGTTTTCCACCCTTCCAAAATACATACACCTATCTATTTTGGGATATTATTTGATGTTCCCATAATCCAGGTCTGGCCCCAGCTTCGTGCCACAGGAGGTGATGTCTGTGCCTCGCACACGGTGAGGAGCATCACCAGCTCCAGGATGAAGCCTCGCTGTCCCATCCCACGGCAAAGGCATCACTGGCATCGAGTGAGGGGCTTTGGGTGCTCATCCCAGCGCAGGATGAGGCCCTGGCCTGGCTGCTGCTCCGAGCCCTGCCACCTCGTGGCTGCTGCAGCTGCAGCACAAGGAGGGACCAGGATGTGCCAGGGAAGGAGTCGGGATTAACCCTGATGGGGTCAAGGGCAGCGCTGGGGGGGGGGTTATGGGACGCACACTATGGGCAGGGATGGAGCACACAGGGGCCTGGTCCTGGCTGTGGGCACAGCCCCATAGGAAGGTGTTGGGGGGAAACTGAGGCACGGAGCATAGCCATTGAGTTGTACCCCTAATCCCAAGGGATTCATCCCATAGGGGCTGTCAATACCCACCATCACCCCCCTCCCATGTCTCCATCTCCCATAGGATGTCCTTGGGGTACCACAACATCCCAGCCTGGCTGCATCCTGCCCGCTATGGGATGGGGGGACATGGTCCCCTTACCCAGCTGATGGCCCTCCCCACTTGGGACTTTGGGAATGGGGAATACTGGGCTAAATGGGATGACTTGGGGCAAACGAATACAAAACAGGGTGATTTGGGGGGGTGAAACCCCCTCTCCTGCTGCATCCCCAGCAATTACAACCCCACTTCATCTCTTCTACTGGATCCAGCCTCTGGGTCAGGGGTGTTGTTGTCCCCTTCTCCATCCTTCTCCTCCTGTAAAGGTAAAATTAAGCCAGGGGTGATATTTGTCCTCCTTAGGAGGGACATGGATGCAGGTCCCCCGGGACCCTCCTAATGCTGGAATTTATCCCATAATGGATAACCTGGAACACAGTTATCCCACATTGGAGACCCCAAACTTGGGCAGGGAGCCCCCCAATTGATAGCACAAAGAATGGGACAAAAAAAAGGGCATTTTGATACTTTTGCAACAGAAAAAAAACCTTTTCATGGGACGTTTTTAACCCCTATTCATTGTGTGACCCCCAGCGCAGCATCCCCGTACCTGCGCAGTGGGATATCGGGATCCAGCTCTGGGAATCTGGGATGCGGAGCCACCTCCCTCCCCAGAGCCGCTCATGCCTCGGGGGCACCCGGCCCCCATCAGCAGCTGCCACCAAGGATGGGGCCGGAGCCAGGATGGGATTTAGGGAATGGGAAGGGCTCCAATGGAGCCGTCACCGGCCCAAGCCACCCCCTTGGGGTATTTATAGCGGGTGCTGGGTACAGTGACACGTCCCGGTCCCTCCCGGCCACGCCGCGCCGGTCGGCGGGGTTGAAACGCAGGCAGCCGAGTGACATAACCAGGTTGGTGGCCATGGGATGGTGTCACCGCTTGCTTTTAGAGCGCGTGGCCCCTCTGCCCCGTTAACCCTTGGAGCAGGGCCGGGTGCAGGCATGGGCGCTGCCTCGGTTTCCCCATGGGGTGGTGATGGGCTTGGGGAGCTCTCGACCCCCGGGGTGTCGGTGGGACCATCTTGGTGATGCTCCATCAGCATCTGCAGCAGGAGTCTGGGTGCTGATGAAGGGAGAAGGGTCAAAACTCATTGAATCATGGAACGGGTTGGGCTGGAAAGGACCTTAAAGCTCATCCAGTTCCAACCCCCTGCTATGGGCAGGGACAGCTCACACTAGAGCAGGTTGCTTGATGCCATCATTTTGGGAGAAGGAAAAACCATACCAAGAGGCTGATGCCACCTCTCCAGCTAAGGAACCCCCAGAGCACATCCACACCATGGTGCTGGCACAGACCATCACCGCAGCATCATGGGGAAGGTGGATAAACCCCATTGGGGCCCGTCACCGCGGCGTCAGGGCTCACCACCACCATCTCCAGGGGCTGTTTTTATCGCTCCTCAGATATCCATCACTCCCAAGCAGTGATTTGAACCAGAGCCAGCAATAAATGACAACCCTGCATGGGAAGGGAGCAGTGGGAAGCAGCATCAGGGCTCTTGGGGAGCTACTCATCACCTTCCTTAATGAGTGCTTAACCCTCATTCGACTGCTCATTAGGAAGCCACAGCCAGAAGCACCAAAGCTCTTGGTCACCACCACATTGCATCGGTCATCCTTGGGGATGCAGCAGCATCATCTCCCCTGGGCTGATCTGTAGTGAATTTGGGTTGTTTTTTGGTAGGAAACCACTATGAAGAAACATAATTATGGGGAAAGGGGGGAAAGGTTCTAATACTTAAAGAACCCCAAAGATCTGGGGATCAGAGCAGCTTCTCCTTGATGGGATGTTCATGTACTGCCGAATAAAAAAGCCATGCTCCGACCAGGCATCCTGGAGAACAACCCCTTTATTTACATATCAAAACACAAGGGTCAATAAAAGACATGGAATAACAATGGGAACAACAAAGGTGTCACTAGAAAACAGCTCGTGGTACGCAGGCTGGGGTAGGAGTTGCTGGTCCTCACGATAACTGGGGGGACAATGGGGATGAGGCTACCACAAACTGGTGTCCGAGTGGCACTAAACTGCATTGCCAGTTCAGCATCCTTACAGAGGAGCCACGTGGTGCCTCTGGTGGCATCCCATGGTCCAAGTCACTTGAGACAGGTGATAAATCCCTCACCAGGAGCCCCCAAGATACCCCCCCCACCACCACCACCATAGGGGTCCCTGGGGGTGAAACTGCACCCATCAGCCCCTTGCTGTATCCATGGTGCAGCTGAGCCCAAGGCTCCATCACCCACCCCATCACCAAGCCCAGCTGGGTGCTGGGTCCCCAGGGATCCCCAGTGCTCACCTATGCTCTTGCTGATGTCTTTCCCTGCAGGTGATGTGATGGAGCAAATCCTGCCACTGCACATGGCTCTCAGCACCTCATAATCCTGCTGTTGGGCCTAGAATCATGTGGGAACAGCATCCACTGCCCAAAAATCCAGGTGGAAATTGTACCCATGGATGCTAACCCCATTGTACCAGCAGCTGCATGGCCGCTACTTGGCTCTGCACAATGCTCTTCCCATGTTCTGCTCCTGCTTGGATTCAGAGGGACCCAAAGCACTGGGCTGGGTCTCCCAAGGGAAACCAAACCCCTTCTGGGATGGGGAGAGGTGGCATCAGGGTACAACCAGCCATGGGGACCCCGACACGCTGCAGTAGCCTTTGATATGAGCTCAGTGCTGCTCCCAGCACATTTCCACTTGGGATGCTCTCGGCACATGGCTCTGCTCCAAGAAATCCCCTCCTAACAGCAAGGGGATGGAGCAGGATGGATGCAGGTGGCATGGAGAGACTGGAGTTCTGTGGGGGCTTTATGATCTGTTACATCCCAGTGTGGTGCTGACTTGAGACCACCAGACATGCTTGTTGCCTGTGGAGTGGCTGACCTGGACAGGGGCACGCTGCTTGATGGCACAACCACCTCATGTCCTGTACAGCAGCAGAGCTGTGATCTGCAGGAGGACTGGTGGGGCTGGGAGCCTCTTCCCAACCCTGTGAGCATCCAAAGAGCCCAGAGCAGGTTTCATCTTCACTAAACTGGATCATTTATTGGCAACTTCAATACTCCCAATGAAGCTGCAGGGGAAGGGGGGTGATGCTGCCCCAGTGCTGCCACCCCATTCCCTGCCATGACAACGTCCCC